CGACCAATTATTATCTTTTGAACGAATCTGTACGTGATCTATCCAGACAGGATAGAATAACATTTATTTATGGTGATTGGTAATTTTCTTGCATCCTTTATCGACTTTCTTATTTATTGTAATTTAGATTTGATCAATTGAACAATTATTGACTGGATAGCTGAGTGGTTATATTTGTTTAGGTAATAATGTACACTTAAATTCATGATAAATTATAGAACCGCTATCTTACCCAATTACCTTGTTTTGGTTTCAAACGAGCGAGGGCGCGTATCTAACTCATCCAGACAGCTGTTCATCAGTCCAACCGTAGTTTGGATCTTACTTTCACCAATGGTGGCAGTGACGATGAAAAGGATCCGTTCTATGACAGGCTGCAATCGCTTCTAATTAAGTGCCCAAGAAATGACCCGAAGGCTGACCTCAAAATCAAAAGACGTAATGAAAACGTTTATGATAAAATCGTTGGAAAACATGATCTGAGAAAAAGAAGTAAAACAGGTAGAGTTTCAATAATCCAAGTTTACTCCACAAATTTACTATAGGTGGCTCAATATTCCTATACAAACCCATACACAAAACTTCATGGGACTCATCGGGTCATACTACACATCGTATTTTGTCGCATTTATGGATTATTCCGATATTCGTTATACTTCATTGAAAGAGTAAAAAGAGATGAACATTTCATTAACATAATAGTCTGTGTTACCATTATTTTATCAGAAATTTATGAACGACTATCTGATATAAAGACGAATTCAGGACTTGATGAATATTGCATGTTTGAAATACGTCTATTTATGTTATCATTTGACGGTTACTATACATGATGTGCATATGTTCTATATCAAACCTGTCACTGTAGATTTAATAATGAGGTTGTATTGAACATAAACAGCTAGTCATATTTATTTATTTTCTGCCTAAATTATATATCAATATACAGCACGTCAGTTTGTTTCGTTCTAGTTTACGGCATGAAAACGTTGTCATTTTCAGCAAGCACTAATTTTAAGCATACGGAGAAACATCTTCCAACATGGTGACCCGCTGCACTAAACCAACGATGGACTGAAATACATAACTTTGGCATCGTTCATTATTGGAGACGCTCGATGGAAGACTCGCTCGTTTTGGAATACCTGTTTGGATACAGCTGTGACTTCAGACCTGGTCGTAGCTGTATCCAACACATATTCACCATTCGTCAGGTTCTAGAACATACATGCTTTTCGGCGTCCGACAATGATAGTTTTTCTTGACTTAGGAGCAGTGTCTAGCATTGAAAAATGTTATTGTTTCAGGACTACATTGCATCAACCACTGAATTAACGATATTAATGATAATAAGAGTAATACATTCGACCAATTTTATCTTTTTTCAATCATCTGTTGTAGCCTATGGTTTAATAGAATCTGCAATAAAGAAGATGTGGAATGCGAGATTAAACTTTGATCTAGCAACCAGTAGGTTTTAGATAAAAAAAAACGTTTTAACATCACATAATCAGTAATGAAATACACTTGACCAATAAAAAAACTATATCAATCCATTAAATCTATGAATGAGAATAATTACTACATATGTAAGATAATTATATATATTCCACTGAATATTAGTGCTGATCTACAAGAAAATAGTTTGTATTAGCCTTACTTCATAATCTTCATTCAGTGGACTTTTCAAACATGATATATGATTTCATATTCTTTAATAGAATTTCATGCACTGATCATTGAAAGTCGTCGATGCTTCCACGACATCAAGTTCACAATAGAACAGGAGTCAAACAAAAATCTGTCATTTTTGATGCATTAAGAATCATAATCGACAAAGGGAAACTGAAATACACGAAAGACAGGAAGCTTTATACTTCAACGATCCGTTCATGTACGAAAGATTCAAGGTTTTTATAGAGTTTCAGATGTCCTTGTGTTTCTGAAAATTTCTGGAGGGCTGATGAACACAGTAGCAGCATAGATAATCATTCAATCACAAGTGCGTATGTGATCAGTCAATTTATCGATGTTTTTCTAAAATACTGCATAAGCCGCCGACTAGCATACTTCAACCCACACTGTCCTAGGCCTTCCTTACCACTTCTATCCAATGTTTTTCGTTCTTCTCATGTCTGTCTCAGTTTCTCGATGCAATGTGCTCTTTGGTCCTCCACTTGTCCTTTGACCTTGTTGATCACGAGCGAGGGTTGACCTTGAGCAACCAATATTTCTCGCCATCTCATAGTCACGTTTTTCTCTTCATTCATTGAGCTCCCAATGTGAAATAATATTCTTTCATTAATTTTATTTCAGTCAAAGAAATGAAGAAAAACATTAGTGAAATGACAGAACAACTCGAAGACTACATACGTTAGTTATTATGTCCTCAAATGTATTCACGTTTAAATAATATGATAGTTTATTAATTGGATTCATGTGTGAATTGAAGCTAGACCATAATAGAAAACTCGAAAGCACTTGAAGGCTGCTTCGTCCTAGTACGGGACTCCTCAGCAGTGCCTATCCACGACCCCGCCACGCGATGTTTCAGCCCACAATATATTACTTGAAATAATTATCTTGTATATGGTACAAGAACATAACGCATATAATGTAATAATAAGCTATCAAGTCTCACCTTGGTATTGATACATATCGTGTGGGTTTCCAAAATATATTTAATTTATCTAATCGTTTATATATATAGAAAGATTAGTTCAATCTGAATTGATGATAACTATTTAACATATTACATACGAGAATAATTAGTATCCATTGTACATCATCATCATTTTAGGGGATATAAGGGCAATTGTAGCTGAAGCCAAAAACACATCAGGTACGTTGATAATTAAGCAAATAACTTCATACAATTACATACTTTAATAAACTATTTTGTGTTTGAATAATAATGTCAAACTTATCACACATAGTGTTACCAGTTATTCTTTGTTTATTAGATCCAACCCAACGACATAATTTGGAACGTAAAGTTGAAGATCTTAGACAGATAGTCAATGACTATAAAGGTGAATAGTAATTTTACTAGATGATCCACTATTTCATTACTGGAAAGACTGAATATCCGTTTTATCTTAGTACTGGATTCCTGTGTGTAAGATCATGTATCCGCACAACTAACGACTCACCTACTAGGACGAAACGACCGTTCAGTGTTTTCAGGTTTTAAACGGTAGTCTCACAGTATTGATATCAATTGATACTAAACAAACAACATAACCTTAACAAATTCATTTTTGTACACTTTTCGCACTTCCGAAAATATCACATTAGACCGAATATATAAGTCTGAGAACAATTTAGATGAAGCTATTAATGACGTACTTTTTGGTAAGTATTAATAACTGAATTGTGAAGTAAATAATTTTATCATTGGCGAGACAATAATTTATGGACGAACCAATCACGTATAAGATAACAGGTGTCGGATTTTAGCGCAAAGTTTAATCATCCATTTGGCTAAATGAAGTTTTGGCATTATAGCTGATTTCGATGATAGAAATCTACCTACAGTTTGTGCTGATGATGTCTTTCAACAGAATGATGAATGCTCTACAACCATGCCATCCAGCTCATAGAACAAAACTCCATCATAACCATCCACCTAAGCTACAAATCATCATCTCATTATAGCTGATGATGGTTCCTGATGAAAACCCAAAATCTAATTCCTAGCCATAATCGTAAACTGTGAATCATAATTCTTATAATTCAAACTGCTTTGTAACCCTCATTTAGCCCTAGTAGATAGATGAACACTCTGAAAAAGTTGTCTATAAATCACAGTGTTACTGAGTAATATAACTAGCACCTTAATTAGCCATGTTTTTCTTTGATTATATTTTATAGCAAATCCAGAAGTGATAGCTGAACAAGACAAAAAGCGTAGTGCCATTATTAGAAACTTGGATGTCTCATGGACGTTCTGTGTAAATAACACCAATGAAGTCGAAAGTTTATGTAGTGGTCAATTATCTGAATGTTACTTACTTACTTACGCCTGTTACTCACATTGGAGAATAGGCGTGTGACTTTCCACATTCTAAATGTTTCTGGCAAACCTTCATTTGAATGCTGGTTGGATAAGATGCTTCTCTCTGTTTTCAGGGCAGGTTTTCGCTTTTCCTGGATCTCTTCAACAAATACTGTACACTATTAATTTTGAGAAAATGAGGTTCATTTTCATAATGACTTGCAGATGATCATCAGCGAAATGTATCTGGATCTCATGGTATGGTACTGGGTTCGAGTCTCAGAGTGATAATCAACTCTGAGATACAGGTACATCCGGCTGACATTTCCCAAATAGGACGAAACATGCGTCAAACTGGATTCCACTGCTATCCATTATTCAACTTCGCTTATATCATCGGATTTTGAGAGGATGGTGATAAGATTGGAACAACAGTCTGACTTCATGGACTAACGCTAACATCTGACTAGGCTGTCTGTTGGACTAGGAGCAGCCAGTTGAAGCAATTGGTGAATGGACACAAGTAGCACATAAATAAGGACTTAAGTCTAAATTTGAACGGATAGTTTCACAATATTTGGGCGCCGAGTTAATTTGAGACTTTAAAAAGAAGAATATATTTATAAAATCTCAGCGAATGAATTTTTAAGTAAATCCACCGTTTCGCCTGGCAATCTGGTCCAAGCTTTTTCAAGGAAAATATAATCAAAGAACAAAATTATCGAATATAAATAGGTACAAGGTTCTTCGGTTTACTGTATACTGAATAAGTCATCCAATCAACATGTCTCTTACACATTAATACATATACCTATTAATAAAAATCCTTCACGTTGATTGGATGACTTATTCAGTATACAGTAAACCAAAGAACCTTGTACCTATTTATATTCGATAATTTTGTTGTTTGATTATATTTTCCTTGAAAAACCTTGGACCAAACTGTCAGGTGAAACGTTGGATTTACTTAAAATTCATTCGCTGAAATTTTGTAAATATATTCTTTTTTTTAATGTCACAAGTAGCATATGTTTCAAACAAGCTAATCGATCACAAATTATAGATCCCGTTACTTAGTCTTCTGTGCAGCTTTTTCACACGGCTTTGTCATCATTTACTAGGTCAACTAGTGCATCACTTGTGCGAATATCAACTCATAATAAGCGAAGTGATGGAATCGTCACTCATAAGGAAATATTTATAGAAAAATTATATAAGAACGTTGAATGGTGTCCATCTCTGATGAATATCACATGACCATTCTGGTTACCCCTGACTGCAATCCCCGACCCGAGCAAACATATATGTACATATATATCGCGGTACGTTCGAAGCATGCGTTACGATGACATGATATCTATTTTATATTGTTTGAATATCGTTGAGTCCCAGTTTATAACTCATAAGTAGCTTTAAAATCTATACTTAAAGCAGTATAAGTCGACTGTCAAAAAACGGGCCCGGAAAAGCCTTAATACTTCAGATAACAATACTGTTATAACCTATTCCCCTTGCTCTGCTACTCTTTTTGATGCTGATAATGTTGGGGGTGGTCTTACACCACGCCTGCTGTTAGATGACTCTGTCTCTAATTTAATAATGAGTTCCACCTCAAGATCAAAAAGTATCGATAGTAGTAAGAGTGAATTAGACTATTTTTAAGCAACTACACGACATGCGTTCCAAAGTTGAGTCACTTGCTAGCTCTTTATCAAAGCATGATGAGCTGAGACAAGAAATAAAGACACTAACACACCTTAAGCTGCTTCTATCAAGAGATATCGTTCCTGCGGAACTTGATGATATCATAAAAGCAGAATGTGTTATCGACTTTATCGCTAATGAAGTTTCCAAGCGAATAGTCTCTCGTAATAACGTGATTGTCTATAATATACCTGCCAGGATCACCATTAAAACTGTAAGGAATTCGATATTAAAAGCATATAACTTTCAAGACAGTCCATGCCAACGCATTCGACTTAATAAAAAGCACCAGAAATACTCGTGCCCGGTCATGTTCAGATTAGACTCGCATATATTAGCTGAACAGTTAAAAGAACCCGAGCGGCTAATCTGCGCGCTTACGAAATTTAGGAACGCTCTTATAGTCCCAGATAAGACCACCAATCAAAGGCTTACGCAGAAACTTACCTTGGACGAAAATAAAGGTGTTGGGGTCACAGCAAACCACGATGCATCAGCTGCTGGATCCACTGATGCAGCTACCCTATCTCATGCTCTCCAGTACTCTGATATACCAACGAAAAGTGCTAATTTGCCTGTTATGTCTGTAGTGACATATGATAGCCAATGTACATCTAATGACGACACTAACCCGATATTTTTCAGTTTACCATTAGAAGCTCATAAGCAAATACTTACTTCTAATGAGAAAGCTCTTAAAAACACTGTCAATATTAAAACTTCTATGCCATATAAGAAGAATGTAAGTACAGAACCTTCTGGTTCTAGACCCAATATCAAAAATATTACGATGACCCCACCAAATAAAAATAAGACTGTACTTCCCGACACCATGATTTACCTTACGCATCGTAGGGAAGGTTATAAGGGTAGACTTGACTCAAATGTCTCACAAGATGGCCACTGCAATCATTGCGTAAGCAGGCATAATATTGGACAGACCACAATGAACCAACGCACCCTACGGTTATCCTCAAACGTTTTAAATAATAAACCTGTAAGACGTAACTTTCCTCAACACTTTCCCATTGGGCAAGATGGATTACTAGGTTACTCACCATCAACCCAACCCCAACTGGCAGGTGCCTGTCTTAACTGTCCGCCTAGTCAAGTTCAAAAAATTAATCCACTTTATCAAAATAATGATTTTATTGGCCTTCAGAAATTCCTGGTCCCACTAGCAATACAGTTTGTTCAAGCGATAGCCCATACGATCAGTCAAACATAATAAACCACAGTCTATGCAAATCCAAACTACATAACATCAATAGGGAAGCTCTCGGTTTTTTTAAACTCCACACTCCCTTTTTAAACTTATTACTTATCAATGCACGTTCACTTCTGAACAAAATTTCAGCCTTGAGAACATTAGCTTTTCTAGCCAAGCCTTCTTTTATACTTATCACTGAAACATGGTGCTCTCAAGCAGTATCTGATTCAGAATTAAACATCCAGAACTATCGACTCTATCTCTGCGACAGAGAAACTAAGCGAGGTGGTGGTTGCATTATATATGCTTTGGATACCCTAACAACTAATAAAGTTGAAGATAGTGTTCTGAATGGTTTACCAGGATCAGTCTGGATATCAGTCAATACTCTGAATCATAGTCTACTCCTTGGATGTATATACAGGGCTCCTGATAGTTCGAATAATGGGAATGATATTATTATCAATGCATTCATACATGCATCCTCTCTCAACTTTGCTAAGGTTATCACTGGGGATTTCAATTATCATGGAATCAACTGGAGTACCGGTAGTTGTCAGTCATGTAATGATGAGTTCTCGGCAACCATTAACATGCACTGCTGGTCACAGTGGGTTCGTACCCCAACTAGAGGCAATAGTATACTCAGTAGTATTTTCGCGAATAATGTAGAAATCATAAATGGTTCTGCTTCAAGAGTTATGTGCGTGGCTAGCAACTCAGTAAAATCTATCTCCTTCATATGCATGAAAATTAATAAGGCTATAAATACCCTTAAGCTTTCGAGAGGTCATGGAGTAGACGGTATTTCATCCTTTCTCTACAAATATGGTGGTCCAGATATTCCACTTCTTCTTCTAAAGCTGTTTACTCTCTCTATGGAAACCGGTTCTTACCCTTACTGTTGGAAAACCGCGTACATCATACCACGTTACAAATCTGGAGATAAAACTGACATGAATAATTACCGGTCAATAAATATTACTCCAGTTATTTCTAGGATTATGGAAAAAGTTATAAGTGATGAATTTTCCAACTATTTACTTGCTGGAAAATTTATCAATGATACTCAACATGGATTTCTTAAAAATCGTTCTTGCATGACATGTCATTCCGACTTCTTTAATTTAGTCTATTCTCTACGTAGCCAAGGATATCTAGTCTTAGTGCTATATCTGGACATTTCTAAAGCCTTTGACATGGTTAGCCACCAACTTCTTATGGGTAAACTCGCGTCCTATGGGGTTCAAAATCCTTTGCTTGCTTGGTTTGATTCCTTTCTCAGAAATCGACATCAAATAGTTAAAATTAACTCTTCATTGTCTAACGCTGTCCCTGTTAGAAGTGGTGTAATACAAAGTAGTGTCTTAGGTCCTTTGCTCTTTTTAGTGTTTATCAATGATATTTGTGAAAGTTTTTGTGTCGGTGAGCCCCTTCTATATGCAGATGATCTTAAAGTAGTATATTCATTTTCTCCACATGAGCTGAAAAGTATGCAAAATTGCATCAGCATGGAGCTTAACAAGGTAGCACAGTGGTGCTTAAACTAGCAACTGGAGCTTTATACGGCTAAATGTGAATGGATATACTTCGGCGATACATCACTTAACCTAGAGCTTGCCATAAATGAAGAAGTGTTATCTAGGTTACATACAGTAGTAGACTTAGGACTTAGATACTCCCAAGACTTATCGTTTACAGAACAGATATTAAAACAGACCTCTAAGTCTCAACGTCTGATAGGTTACATCACTTGAAACCTTTACAACAATTAATCACGTATTCTAATGTGCAGAGCTTGTGCTCGACCTCTTCTAGAATACTGCACGTTTATTCTTAGCAGTACACGAATAAAGGATAAATTAAAGCTGGAATCAGTACAGAGACGATTTACACTTCGTACTATTGGTGCTGATTGCACCTTAACTTATAATTCTAGACGTAATAAACTTAGGCCAGAACCTTTATGGAAGAGAAAACCGAAATTTAATCTTGTCCTTTGTCTTCAAACTACTTCGTAAACTATCGTTTACATCCAATCACGCGATTCAATATGCAGAAACTTCTCATTATGACATCCGTAATTCCTTGGCACTAGTGAAACAAACTCATTCTAAATCATCTCTTTATATGAATTACTTCACCTGTAAATTTTCTAGACTCTGGAATAACCTACCACAATCTATCCGCACGATAAAATCACTCCCATTATTTGTTCGCTGCATCGATGCATACTGCTCCTCTGAAAATGCATTGAATGGTCTAGCACTTACAAGTGTATCTCATTCCACAAGTGATATTTTAGGAACTTTAAATGTTTAGCCATCTTTATTAGTGAATCCCCTAAGTAAAACCACCCATTTGCTGTCAATATGTTAACACCGTCCCTAGCAAGTTTAACTAATTTGGATAACATAAACAGTATATCACTGTGTCACATGACACACGCATTGAGGTAGACCTGATTCACATATTTTGTTAATTACTGCTTTGCTGTTCCGTGCTCTGTGTTTTCGTTTTAATTTCTCTAGTTGTAGATAATTATCATTAATTCGATCTGGCACACGAATTGACTTTAATTACTCCGTTAATAAATCAACAGGCTGTCCATTTATGAAATATTAAAAATTCCCGGCTGATGCATTGGATCACTGTAATACATGTACTAACTAAACAATTACTGAACTTGTATACTTAAAACGTTCTTCTATCACGTGTTTGTTCTGTACATCTAATGTTCCTCTTTATATCAAATTGATCATGACTGTAAACTGGCGTGAATTCTGTAATTATTATTTTCAGAATATAAATTATTATTATTAACATTCACTATAAACAAGATTATTCGCAAGATTTGTTTGCTGCTATGGTCAGCATTTTGACCAAAAAATTACCACGAGTGATTTCTCGCAATCAAGAAATAGGACTTCTGTTGTATGCCATTACGTTTGCTTATACTTAAAAACCTGAAGAGTGTGCATTTAGTTGATACATTCACATTCAAGTCTAAAACCAGTCCAACCTCTTAAGTCTTCCCCATCAAGATCAAAATTTTGTCATCATACGGACACAGAGGCTTGTATTTTCGTTACTATACTGGTTGAACCGATTCTTATGACAGGATATTAAACCCGTCATGTAAAGTGTTACGGTCAGCTATCAAAGCAAGTCAGATAAGATGACGTCCGACTATCAAACTTCAACCAGTGGCTATATTAGCTTCTAAAACTGTATCACTGCTGTGAAAGATATCCAAGTTTAGTAGAGACGAGCTTGCTGCCCTCTTTAAATTTTTACGGGTCAGATTTTTCAGATCCACTGAGAGTTGAGTAGATTTTTGTGTAATCAGAGGTCAGACCAATCGTTACCACAGATAGTTTATCCGTCAGTCCGTGTGCTAGTAATTGTTTATTCATCTTCCAAGATTACCTGGAGTCTCTGTCACTCTTTATTGCTCTCTGGACCTCTCACGATAAGGTTTCTGATACCTATCAACTCAGTAGATCACACAAAAATTATTTGATCTTAACTGAATTTCTTAATAACTTTCATTGTAGGTGTCACTGATATATTTATAGTTGTTTAGAGGTGTTTGCAAACATCTATATCATTAGCTACTTCTCAATGAAGCTTAAATTGTTCTCCCTTGAATGAACTAAATTACTTAACCTATAATACTCGTTGTTGTAGACAAATAATAGTTGATTTTATTGTTTGAATTTATTTGTTGAAGATGGTTCTGAATAACATAAAAGGTTACCTGTTTACACATGAATTCAAGTGTAATGTGCGTTGTTGATACGTTTGTTTTTTTTAATAGGAAACCAGAAGAATGAACGAAACTTCAACCAAACAAAATATTGTTCTCAAACTGTTTTAATAAAAATTCTGTCAACTTTTTCATTAACTGAAAAACCGAAAAACAGTATCAATGTTCATTTTATTCCAGTGTCTTTTCGCTAAAATAACGTTGTGCATTGCATTGACAGATTTTGCGACAGTTCAAATTATTGGCAAAGATGGACAATGTCTAGCTGTGAAATCCTGTTTAAAGAGCGTTTCATACTAATTGGGACACATCAGCTTGATGTACCTGCATCTCAGGATTGATTTTTACCCTGCGATTTGATCACAGAATCGTTCGCTTCAATCGTCATCGCGTTATCTACTAAGCTGCTGAGTTCTGACGGCTACTTGCTTGTGCAATAGATTTCTATTCATCAGTTTTATTCTGAAGTATTACAATCGCTTATAATTGTGTTGTGTAAAGCGATAATCAATAAATTACTTCCTAATTATAATAAATTATCGAACAAAACAATTAATTTAGCCGGATCTGTTTTGAGATGGTAACTCACCGAAGACAATGATGGACGGTGGCGCAATTTTGTGAATTGACCAACGTTAGACATTAACACCGCTGCATATCGGCTCAGTGGTTTGTAGGTTAAGCGCTCGCGCGTCACACCGAAGCGTGCTTCCAGGTTTCCCATGGACTCATGATGTCGACTGCTGAAATTAATACAATTCACTTTATGAAATATGTGTTCTCAGTAATTTCATATCTCAATCAACAATAATTAATAGAATTAATTACTGTAAAACATCTGGATTCTTTAGGTCAATAGAATAAAAAAGTACAAATATCTGAATGATACGATAAACTTAATGAAAAGTGTAAAATTAACTTATTTATCATAGCGTTCAACAATCACACCAATTGTAGGACACAATACGTTATGGGCGCAAACATAATTGGGGACAATCAGTTCTTTTAATCAATTTAAAAATCATATATTCAGTACTTCATATGTAAATCTTCCATCAGTTGTCTTAAGTTTCATGGTTCCTTTATTGATACAATAATTACTCTCTGTTCCCGTTCTTTTTGATTCGATCAACTCAATCATCTGCTTCCAGGTTTGTCATTTCTGATTAGTGTTACTTACCTACTTACGCCTGTTACTCTTCATCAAGGAGCATAGGCTAACCACCAGCACTCTGCATTCAACCCTATCTCAAGCAATCCTTTCCAGCTACTTCCAGTTGTTATTCAATTTTTTTCATATCGGCTTCTATTTCTCGACGTAATGTGTTCTTTGGCCTTCCACGTTCCCACTCCCCTTCAGAATTTCAAGTTAGGGCTTACCTCGTTCGGTTATCACAAACCAAACATTGAATCATAGCTTTAATTGATCATTATCGTAATCATTTCAATATTTTTTTTGAAATGTTTGCTTGAATGTTAACTTCAACATTTGATCAAGTTATTTATGTAGTTAATCATTGGTTAAGTCATTTTGTTCTTTATATTACAGTACTCTTTCTGTTATATTTACAATGAATAAGAATAACTAAAGCAAACTAATAACTTTATTTTTAGAATAAAGTTGGATAATAACTTGTCATGTTATCCGAGGAAGTGAGTTTAGTTCTGTCTGGGACTCATCAGATAAACATGACTTCATTTTAGTGTTTATTGAACACGTTGTGTACGTTTTCTATTTCAAAAAATCCCCGTCGCCAATTTGTTGTGTCTTTATGACTTGCTAGTCATCACATAATTTATTTGCCAATCAAAATGCGACTTATTCACCCTTGTACTGTACTAAACCAATGACGTTCGTTCGGTGTGATCAGCGTAGTGTCCTATTGGTCCGTCGCTCACCTAACCCGTCCAGCTAAGTCCAGAACGTTGATACCAGCTCTCACTATGCGAATCGAATCATTTATTTCAGATATAATGGTTTTATGCATCAACCAAACAGACCACAATGCACCATAAAATAGGAAATAACATTTATACACAATAAAGCCAAAAAGTGACTGAACGTAGGAGACGGTGATCAAATAACTGAGTATAACTTAAGAACAGTAAATTGTACAATAATAATCTATAGAGCGAAATGCAGCTTATAATAATGGGAATATATAATCTAATTACCGAGTAGTTATATCATAAGAATATACAGATAATATTAGTTCATTAATAGGTCTCATAGGTTACTCGTAATAACAGAACAGCATAAACCCTCCAAAAAAAGATTCATACGCGTTTGAGCACCTAGTTTAAAATTGAGAGGGAAGTTTATGGATTCCATTCTCACTGTGAACATCAACATAATCAGGGGATGAAGGTACCTTGGGCTGATGAATTCAAAAAAAGATTAGATCTGCTTCCTAAATTTCACTAATGGCCACTATCCAACGTTTTTACTGATTAGTTACTAAGCAGTGACCCGTGTCACATTTGTTTTGTCCTATAATTCTGGTCTAGTCACAATAATCACTGTGGAATGTAACTAATAATCTATGTGATTGGATATCAAGCCTACCAAATAAGACATACTGGTAATGGCTATCGATCACGAAAACTAGTTTTTTTTTTACTTCGTCCCAAGTATCAATAACCATTTAACACTCTTCAACTTCATTGAAAACTTGTGACTAAATAACAATATAGCGATAATCAGATCACTTATAACCTATAGTATCAATTGTGTAAAAATACCAACCTTTACAAAAGGCAAATTTATTCTTCATCAAAGTAAGCAAGTACTTATTGTCTAGAATTAATTTACATATTATCCTATTTCAACTACCATACAGATTAGGCATGAGTCTGTAATGTTCCAACAGACACAAACATTGTTGTTGTTGTTGTTTTTCGTTACTATACTGTTTATAACTAACTAAGTTCATTTCCTAGAATTTTACTCGTTTACAATGAAATATACATGTATTTTAATAAAGGAGAAAAATATTGATAAAATTAGGTAAACATTGGTATTGACAACGGATATTTTCTTCCTGTAATGAAAGACAATGATTGTCTAAAAGACAATAACTTTTGATTGATGATTGTTCTATTTAATCAGTGATGAATGAATGTAACATCTACCACCTTGAAAGTGTTCTCAGAACATTGATTGAATTCTATTTGTCTACCTATTAGTGTTGATCAAAGTCTTTCGATTATTTTAATATTCTAATCACCAGTTAAAGTGAATCACTCTTTTTTTTAATATAAGGTGACTGCAGACAATCTGTAGAAATACTTTATTAATCAGTGTAAATATCTCTAGTTTAAAGTAAGTCAATAGAGTCTTTGAGAGATCACCAAAAACTATTATGAATGTGATATTCTATGCTGTGTGCTCAGTTATTAAATAAAATATCCTTGATTTAAAAATAGACTTATTTTGTTAGTGAGCAACAACCCAAATTCATAGCTTTCTTTAAATGTTCTCTAATCAACTAGCGTTAGTTTTTTGAGATGTTGAATAATTTGAAAAAAGTAGTTTGTTGAAATATATTTATAGATATTCGAGCCCCGCGTGGTGCGGGATCGTGGATGCGCACTGCTGAGGAGTCCCATACCAGATATTTAGGCCCTTAGGATCCTGAATTTTCAACTCTTTCTATTAGTTGTGTGACAAAAAACAAGCCAAAGCCCGACAAATTTGATAGGCACTTCCTGATGAAAAACAGTTAGAACTATCGCAATTTAATGGTTAACATTCAGTGACTTTCTGTGATGATAATGTATGATTTTTATTCAAATTGTTCTCTTAGCTGAATGATCTTTTCAAATTCAAAGTCGGTAGAATAAGAGTCTATTTAATCATAGAAGAATTTCCACAACTGATTACTTTCCAAAGTTTATGCTAATGATGCTGCCTTGAATGACGATGAAAGCTTCCGGATTAAATTATCGAGTTAAGAGAATAAACATTCAACAAAATTATTTCTTTTTACAATTAGTTAAAAAATGGCCTTATCATATATCTTCTTCAAGTATGTTGATTTTTTCAATCAAGTTTTATGGCGCTTAGCTGAAAACCCTGATGTAAACAATAATTTACCAACATGCTAAAACTATTGTATTAAATGAGGTTCGGTGTTTGAAAATAGTTTAGAAGAAACCAAAAACTTAAGTTTCACGCAACTTGCCACGTGCCATCAAGACGTACTTTCAATCTTTAGTTAACTATTATTCTTTACTGTCCTCCATTATTCTTTCCCAGGCTTTTGAGAAAGGACTTTGCTGTATTGCGGAGAGTGCTGAAGGCAGTTAGCAAGATGTGTGGTGAATCTTTCAAGGTCATAATTAATATGGTTGTGGATAGATATCTATAGTCATGCAAACTCCTGGCAGGTGTTATTTTATCAGATACTAACTATCCCCATCACTCATATCTTTCTCCTTGTATATATTCTGGTAGAACGAGACGTAATTACATTAAAATGCATGCACACAAGCAAAATTATAAAAGTTCTCTAATACCTTACCTAGCAGACACACTATGTGACGAAGAGGTTGTTAGAGTTAACTTAGTCAATAACCTGCATTCTTAACATGTCTTGAATTTGGAAAGTTGTACAGTTTTTCAGATTTTCTTTTAACCTTTTCCCTTCTTTTTTGTTGTTGTTGTTTTGTGTTTTGTTCTTTGTAAAGGAAACTTGTTGAAATACCCTGTATTGAGAATTCTATAATGTACTGAAATATAATATTGAACAAAGCCATAAATAATAATAATTCATGCTTCTTATTATATTCGTAACTGATTTACTCACCTTCACAGACTGAAACGTTACTGCTGAGCTACTGGATTCGTGACTAATAGCTTACAGGTTTAAAATATTTACACTAGTTGATCAACGAGTACTAATCAGTATCGTGTTTGTCTAGCCTATAGTGCTAGTCATCCCAATCTCATTTAACTACCTGATACCAAAATATAGTGCACATGATGTCCACACAATTAGACTAGTGGCTATATTGCAAAATGATCGATAGATTTCGATTGCCTATGGAAACTAAAGAAACATGACACTGGTCACTACTCTTTTAAATTTAATTATGCCGTTCGAATTCAAAGTATTCTTTTCTCCAGGCTAATAAACGTTTTATATTCCTTAAGTTCTAGCAATCTAGTACAGTATGTAAAACAATATACTAATTTATAGCTAAACGGGGTTATGAATTCGCTACTCTCTCAACTTGTATTTTTTTCTATTGAAGTGAATTACACTTTCATTTGTTTCCAGTATTTATTTCTTTTTAACTATTTAAAGTTAAATTATGGCCATGAACTTGTTCAAATAGTTAAACTGTTTATAAATAATAATCAGATGTTTGACAACAAAAGTATTGTTTAAATTTACCATGAAGATAATAAATATATTAGTGTTACATCCTATTGAGTAGCAAATTGTATTTCTGACGTTTCGTGACTTAATGTAAACCACTTCTTCAGAGTAAACAAATAACTGACATTAAGTCACGAAACGTCAGAAATAAAATTTTTCTACTCATTGAGATATGATAAAAACGTATTTATTTTTCATTCTCTACCCAATGCTCAATTTATTTGAAACTATCTGGATCAACCTTTGTATGGATACCTATTAACATGATAATGTTTAAGTTACTTTTACAAATTTTCACTTATGGTTTACTGTGAAATAAGTATTGAAATTCTTATAAGCAGAGATGAATGTTGGCTGATAGTGGAGTTCAAGATGTGCGTTTCGTTTTATTTGTGACTCATCAGCTGAGTATATCTGCATCTCAGAATCGATGTTCACTCCAAAACGGGGACCCATTATATTTTCCTTCAAATACCATTGAGTTATATCAGATAAAGGAGACGATTATTACCAAAATTTAATGGTAATTAGTTATCTGAACATGGAGTTATGGTATCTTTCTAGTCGTATACAATGAAAAACATTACCATTTAACCTAAATATTGTAAAATAGGAAATTTTTTTAATCATGAAAAAAAATCGATATTAGAAAAATGTATAAACATACATGTACAACGCTTATCACCTCAAATATCTTTGAATAAGTCTTGAGATCTTACTAAGTATTGAATAAATCAAAACAACTGTTAGCTAACATCAAAGTCACAATCTTCAATACGAACAGCAAGACATTTGGAGAACTACTTTAACAATCACTAGAAATGTATGAGTATTTATAAACAATAGTTTACGAAAGATACTGAATGACCGTTGACCGGATACCATCAGCAACAAACCACCGTGGGAGATAGCAAACCATCTTCCATTTGAAGGGGAAATGAGGAAAGGATGTTGGAGGTGTACAGGATATATATTGAGGAAATTATCATATTGAATCACGAGGTAAGCCCTAACTAAAAAAAATCCTGATGGGAAAAGGCAAAGTAGCAGACCAAATAACACATTGCGTTGGGACTTGAAGATAGGTATCAAAAGATAGCATAGTAACTGGAAAGGATTGATCAGGACAAAGTTAGTTAGAGAATCCTGGTGGGCGACCTAAACTTCTCCCTAACTGTTTTATAGAGTTTTCTAGTTCTTAAAGAATAATCAGATGTCATTATTTACTAAATATATCCTTCAGAATACCGATTTTTGTTACATCTACACCACAAATTCTACGGTCATAGGTGTTATGTGATTTACAAACCTTAAATGAATAAATAATCTTTTGATTTTTATAATTAGCTAATTAGTTAATTTTGAAAACGTGCTTTGCCGGTTAACGTTTTTTAGCGAGTTATTTTTTTACAAGCTTGGGTCG